TCACAATTAAGTATTGTTATTACGCCAAGGTTTTGAAAATATGTTGAATACTATTTCAACTAGTGTGACCTCGACGTCAAAAAATTGCAATTTTACAAAATAAATTATAAAAGTTCCATTAAACACATCATGATTTAAATTAAATTTAAATTTTTGAGGAACGATATAGAAGATGCATTAAATGGGTTTCTTAAACATTCTGTAGACGCAAGCCTACCTTTTTATTGGTTTTAATCCAAAATATGGTTTTTAAAACACCTTAATTTAAGCTAGTTTAGTCCAAAAACTGGTCTAACATGGTTTAACAGCTGAGCAAGGTTTAATATGCTTACGTTAGCACCTATTAACACGTCAGTATTATATATTGACAACGAAATTATCGGCAATATAACTTTTTTTGTTTGAACACTGAATTCACTCGATTAGCAGTATTAGGTTTCCGTTAGCAAATGTAACCAATAATATTTAGAGCTCACATGTTTTAGATGGGCTGCCTGATGGAGGCAGGCCACCAATAGTATCCAGAGAGACCTCCGATAAATGCAAAGTAAGGCTTTGAAACCTTTTAGCCTTATCAATATCCACAATGCTTGTTTGTTCCCTATATCTCATATTGTCTCATATCTGTTATACAGGGTATAGCTGATATGCTCCACTTGAGACCGTGGTTTAAGATCCACCTATCTCCAATTCTCACAACCTGGTTGTTCGGAGCCCAAAACGTCTCCAAAACGTCATAAAGGTTAAAACGTCTTTATGGGGGTAAAATGGTGGAGAAGTAAAAAGTTGGCAATGATAGTTTTTATTATTTGAGACAACTCTCCCCAAAACATTCATTTGACATTACATCATTTCAGGGATTTTATCTGATAAGAAAATAATTTACTATTACAAAAAAGTTAGAAACTCATTTTATATAATTCGATTTAAAAAGCACCTTTGTAAAATACATTATACGCATACGTGATCTGGTTAAAGTTTAAGTTAACGTTTGATTTGACTCGTAGTTTTACATAATTAAAACGGGCAATATCATTAATATTCCAAAACTTTCCTCAAACTTTGGCCGATTAAAAATTCAACGTAAAAGGCATCGTGGAGAAATGTTGTAATCAGGGCTGTCACATTTTTTTAGAAACATGATACTTTCTTAAATTATTCAGGGTTCTTTAGAAAAATTCAGATATAAGTATTCATGATAAATTAAGAACAATAGATTCGTGCTAGTTGAGAAATATAAGAAATATTTTTTACATATATTTAAATATATTTTTAAAGTTTATTTTTCTGTATAGGCTACTGTAAATACTTTCTGAAACTGATATTTACATTCTGCATACTACCTATTCAAAATACAAAATCCAATTCCTTACATTGGCATATCACAGTTACCACAGTAACATGTTACTTTATCGCGGAACTAATGGGTGTTTCATTTGTGATTTTTAAAATGAAGTGTTTCCTTAAAAACACAATTTATTGTCTGTACCATAACCCATTTTTCTGTTTAATATTAACGCTATTTTACAAACTAAAAAGGATATTCTTAGTAGAAGTTTGCTGTGATAAAATATTAATAATGCTGGTTCAAATTCATAATTTAATTAGTGATTATAAAACAGCTTCTCATTAATTTGAGCTATAATCTCATTATATTTTCATCGTTACATTTTTACTTTCTCCCCCTATACAAGTTGTTAGCAGGCTCATGGGGGTATGTGTCAGTTTGCTGATACCGTTTATTTTACTTTGGTTCTGAATTAATAAAGGGTGAAGGATTTCCCAATAGCGTAATAAACACATGCTGAGCACTTTTTAATGAAAAAAATCCAACAAAATAAAGAAAGGAAAAATATCTTTGTTTTAGTTCTTAGTCCTTAACTTTTAACCTAAACTACTTAAATGTTACTACTTAAATTAAAATAAAAAAGGCATGAAAATTTATATTTTTTTAAGAATTAAAATTCATTTCAACCACATTGTTGACAGTGTGTGAAATTTTTAGGGTTTTATCGAACCTCTAAGATTATTGTTGATTATTGTTAAGATAATTAATTATAGTCCTTTCCTATTAGATCAATACGATGTTTCTTTACTAATGTAATTGACCTGAATTTAACGTTTTGACGATTTAATTGACGTTTTCAAGTCGTCGCAAACAACTGAGCTATTGATATGCTATCAAATGTTAAAAATTATATTCTACATAATAAATTAATTCCAATAATGATTATAACAATTGTAAACGACCTATGAACCTGTGAAAAAGTTTCATTGATTCAAGAAAATATTAAAACCAACATCCAAAATAGAATTAAGAATTTATTTGTCACCTAAATCCAATAAAAAAGGATATCTTTAGTAAATTTTGTATATTAACTTTGTTATATCTCTCCCAGTATTTAAAATTTGTTTTGATAGTGTGACATAGCGGATGTTGTAAACATAAAAGTGTGTTAGAGGTTTTAAAAAAATGTTGCGTTTGTTTTGAAAGGCTAAAATATTTGACAGAAGCGTACCTTGAGGGTGGATCACTTAAACAACAATTTGTTTTAAGAACACGTTTTAAGTGAATAGGGCAACCCTATTGAATAGTGTCATTTGATAATGTATATCTGGCTATTAAATGAGTTACGTATAATTCTACCGGGAGATGTTTGCACAGTAGGATATTCCTAGTATAAAGAAATCAACAATGTAGTCATACTGTAGAGTGAAATGGATCGGTAAACAGAGGTTTCAAATTCTTAGATTTCTCGTTTCTGTGAAAACAAAGCAACTTTTTTCAACTTCAAAGAAATACACGCATTTTCAAGGATTCCGGCAGGGTTAGTGCACAAGAATTCCGATGACTGTGACTTCATCATGAAATGCTGTGAAATTGATCTCGAGAAGCCACATCTACACTATTTGACCTTCCTTTCTAGATAAAATCGTTAAGGCGGGTAAAATCTCACTAATCAGATCAAAACAAAACTATAATTAACAATTGAATTTCATTCATGTCACCATAGTTAGTCATTAGTACCATAGTTTTATGCTAGTGGCGGAAGTAGAACTCATTTAAATAATTGATAATGTATCTTGAAAATAACTGCAACCCAAGTACGTTATTCCCAAGAAAAATAGGATATTCGACTATTAAACTGGCATTGACTTTATTCTAACTAAAACATAAACTTTTGAGGCAGGTGATAAAGAATTTCTTTTTTAAGAGGTTGGCGGCCGCTTTTCAACCTTGCATTTACCCGTCCACATAGACTAACCACCCGTGCGTGGAAAGTTTACAGCAAAGCAAGGAGTGAGCCGGTACAGTACAAAGGTGAACGTACTGATAAATTTTAGTGGCAGTGACCAGGATCCGAACCATGCCGTCGCTGCCTTGGGCCCGAAGTGACGCTACCGATTCACTAAAAAGACATAGTGTAAAAAAATACACAATAAAGATAAGTTATATTGTATTTAATAGGTCAATTTAATATTTTATAGCTTTATGTATTGATGTTCTCCCCAAGACATTCGACTGCGTAGATTGCACTGATCACTGAGACACTGGACTCTTTTAACCTATAATATACTTTACCAGCAGAACCCCCTCCTCCCCCCCAAAAAAAGAAAATCTCAAATCAGTAGTAAGACAACATTCATACAACCAAATCGGAAACAAGACCATCATCAGTAGAGTCCCACAGGCATCGATTTTCGGCCCAATTTCTTTCCATCAAATCAAGTACAAGTATGTTCATCTAGGAGGATGACAAGAATCTTTCGGGGGGGGGGGGGGGCAAATATCACCTAAAAATATAGATTCAATGGCTTGAAAATCAATGAACTGGTCCACCAATTTTCCAGAAAACATGTTGCAACCAACTGTAGATTCATGTCCATTCAAACTAATAATATCCCCACCGTAGCAAACCTACAGACTAAGCAAATTTCCATTTGCCTGATTTTATTTTCAATTCAAAGTATTTAAATAACATTAAGTTTAACGAGTACCTAGGTTTGCAGCAACAGAAAGGGCAATCAAGTCTTTTTTTCATTAAGATATAATGAAATTGAAAAATAAATACAGTAAATTATAAAAAAATTGAAAAATAAACAAATTTGCCAAGTTTGATCAAAATGTATCCATAAACAAGCAAACTACAACAATTTACTTATTCTTCGTAAGAATAACGTGAATATTTTAAATTTAAAAATTTTTGAATTTTATCCCAACCAATAAAAACACAAAACACTTCAATATACCAAATTATTAGTTGTTTAAGCTCTTCAAAATGGTACAGAGAGAAATTGGATAATTTTATGTTTTCAGGGTCAAAAATGAGAAATACCAATTTTTACCCTTTGAAACCCCATTTCCATGGTCCGATCATGCTAATTCACGAACTCGAATAAATGTAGCTTTACACGTTTGTACGAAATTTCATCGAAATCCGACGATTTTTGCTCGAGTTATCGTGCTAACGGACACACAAACACGCTCTCGGGCCCGGGTTCATGTTTTGCCATAATACCTAAGGTAGCTTATTGCCTATGGGAAATTCGCTAAAACGAGCAAAAATCTGCACATGTGCATTATAAAAACAAGAGTCAACAACTTATCATCTTTACATTTCATGCTCGAGGTATCTCCATTTTTTTATGTTTTTTACTTTTAGAATTTGGGACTGAATAGGTTTATATAGGTCTACTTGGCTACCTCCCCTTGCATGTAAATTGGAAGTGTACTTAGAAAAAAAGAACTTAATATCTTGTACGTCACACTCTATAATATAAGTCTTAACTATGTTTTAGGTCAGATGGGACAATGACTCCTCTTTATATTTCAGTGAATAACAAAAAGAAGGGAATGAAAAATACAGTTGAAACACCCTTTACTCAATATGAGTTAACATTGCCGTTATCCCTAATAAGGAATGGTACTGTACAACGTTGAATAAAAGTTGTACTAGAACACTATTAAATGTATATACACATAACAATTCTATAATTACCTTTATTTATAATAGACGAATCTAGCGAGTTGAAGAATTATATCACCATAGGCCCCCCTGTAAAAAGAAAACAGTAATTAAATATGGCTCTAAAATGTTTGAGCTTGTTTGTAAAAGCAGTTTTATTTATGTCATTATGTCATTTTGTTAGCTAACTATATCCGATCAAAACCTAACTACACATTTTCTTACAAAAATATTAATGATATCTTTTGACGTTAAAACCTGTTATAATAACCATAAAATAGATTCAGGGCGCTAATATTTCTTGACACATATATTATAAACATTACAATAAATTGTAACATTAATTCAAAATACTGAAGGCTGGAACCGTAAATTGTATTACAACATTATTCTCTTTCAGCGTATAAAAGATAATATTTTTAAGAGTTAACGTTGGAAAATTGTTTATTGGTGAATGTTTACGCATTTATAATTATGAAACAAGGATTCGTTAAAGTGACCTATATTATCTAAAAGGGTAAATAAAAACGATTGTATTAACATTTAAAACCTAAATAAGATACTAAATAAGTATATTTCCACAACTCAAAATAAAAAAACATAAGAGTATAGTGATTGTATTATCTTTGTTTTCTGTAAGGAGAGATATACTGTTCATTATAGTATAAATGTAAAATCTTCAAAACACCTATGTATTGTGTTCATTGATAACTGCCATTTCAGTATCTAATAAGATTTCTCTTATGAAGAGTTAAACTGATTTATCACATATGAAAATACGAGCTAATTTATGCACCTATACAGTAGCTATACATTTCAAAATTTAATAAGTCATTTTGATATTGTATAGCTATAATGTAAATAACAAAATTATTTTGAAATAACCAGTTTCCAATTTGGTAACGTTATCGAGTTACTTAAACGGCTCAAAAAGTCCAAATATTTTTGGATAGGTTTTTACTACCATACAAATAATTATATTAATCCTCATTTATGTTTAATATTAGCATTGATTTTTATTCTATGATTCTATTATATTGTTATGGTCACAATAAAGAGCAAAGTTCCTTATTTAAATTTTGTTGTTAATTGACATACTGTGCAGTCAAAAACGTACCTTAATTAGTCAAAAGTACATTTCACAAGCCAAATACATACTGAAGTATACTTTAAGCCTCAAGTGGGTAGCATGCCATGACAGAGACAGGGGAGTTTGTTTGTTTACCAAACACGTCAAAGCACCAGATCAACCTGTTATTGAAAACCAATCAAATCTGATGCGGATTTTATGCGCATCCAAACCGGGTTGCTTCCTCAGGTTGATGGGTTGGAAAAAGTAATTTACCTTTAACAGGGAATAATACATTTATTAAAATAGGACACGAGTAGAAAATTTAAGGTACAAACCTTGGCAAGTGCCTTAAAAACGTCTACGAGTGTCGTTAACATTATTTACGCGAGTTGCGTACACTACTTTACCTACGACATTGTTTTAATTACCAAAAATCACTATTCATAATTTCTAAAAGAAGTTATGTTTTCGTTTATAACCTCCCATTGCCACTGACAACGATGCAACGAAACACACTAATTGCACCAATCAATAATTAAATTGGCCTGAACAGTTGATTAGTTGAATTTTGAATCGTTACAATTTTACTTCTCCTCTCTCAATCCTTGAACCTCATTGGTCCGTTACCCGTGTTTTTATGAGTAAAACTATGCTGTTATGAAAGTAAACAATGCTGTTATGAGATACTTTTCAATTCTAAGAACTGTACTGATACGGCTACTACAAAAAACGGTCGTAGGTAAACAATATTTTCAAAGTATACTACAGGGTGGTTTTTAACGCAACCCCAATTACAAGTACAATTAAACACTGTTTTTGGTATACATGTATTTTTTACTTCATTACCAATCAGCTGATATGTATTGTTGCATAGTTTTCTATAAGTTTTAGTGTTATTGGGAATTAATTGTGAATAAGTCTCAACTTGGCGTTTCTCAAGCTCTGTTTTTACATGTGAAAAACCTTAATTAAGTCTTATTTACAATCAATTCACAATAACACTGAGCCTCATCGATAAGTGGAACGATGCAAAGCTGATCGGCAATGAAGTAAAACAGAGATAACCTCATATGAGCTAGTTTTGTTGTTAGAGAGTTTTATTTTTATTTGTAATTATTTGGGTTGCGCTAAAAACACCATGTACTTGTTACTCTTACGCGGAAAAAAACATAGGTTATGTTCCTCAATAGTCCGATTAAATTCCACATTTGTTGTTTGGTGAGACTAGTTATAAAAAAATTAGGTAAATATAGGTTTATAGTTTATTAGTTCCTGACTGATAAAACCTATAAGTTGTGAATTTGTAGAAAAGCTTAATTTTGGTTAATTAGCTGGTATACCGTTGGATATGACGACGTACAATTTAATGACTGACACGACTCTTTTATAATTATTGTGTTGAGAGTAAAATGGTAGAATTACGATGTAATAACTGTATTGTTCTGCATCTTTATCCCAAGTAATTCAAGAGTTCAATGATAAATATTTTACAGCTACAGAAGTAGGCGAAGGCACCAAACACCCACCTCAGGTAACATGTAAGCTTATAAAGCTGAAACAAAATTAAGAAATAAAACCTAAATTACTATATATAATACAGTGATTTTTATTTGTTTAACTTGCTTCTCAGCTTAAAAATGACTATTCCGTGTCTATCACGGTATTTTGATTGCACCTAGGGGTTTTTTTCTACTTTTTTACAGACTTGTTATATGTTTCATATTAGTTTAAAATATAGGCCTAAATGCAATAGGATTTTGTAATTACAGATCATTTTCGTGACAAATTTTATGTGAGGGTATTGAAGTAATCATTTTTATACTTTATTGTTAAATAAATCAATACAGTATACGGGCCAAAATATTAAATAAGTCAAATAAAACATTTAAATGCAATGGATTTCTTACAGTTTATTAGAGACATAAACTTTTTTAGAGAATTTTTTTTCTTAAAAACAAATACATTATGAATTAAGCGGTATCATTATGTATGTTTCAAAAAGTGTGTCCATAATATAAATATAAACATATGATAAATAAATTATGAAACTAATAATAATAATTATAATCTTATAAATAATAAATAATGTTCATTAATAATGTCCAAGGAAATATAATGGGTTTCATGACTGCTTAACTATAAGAAACTAAAACTTGTAAAACTGGTAAAAATAAGGTCATGGCAAAACATAACAAACAATAATAAACAAACATAACAACTAATATAAGAATTATACAGAATTAATCTAAAACCTTTACACCAAATAGCCGAAGCCTGATGCAAGAAATCCCTCAAAGCTCCATGTAGAATAGAAGTACAAGTACAAGCGCCATATACATATTGTACATATATAGAATAGAAGCATATAATAGAGGGAGAAATCAAAACAGAAAAAGTATTCTAATATTTTAGGCCAAGGGATAAGTACGCCCACTCAGAAAGAAATATTATGTATTATACAGTCAAGTGAACTCAATCAATAATATTCAGACTGTCCTAAAATATACTTAGTAAATATTATTTTTAGATCTTCTGCTGTCGAATAACTGACTGTACTAGATCTAGTTATTAAATGTCTTTTTTAAAGTTTTTCACAAATTGGACGGTCTACCTACATCCACAAATTACTTTAAGAATAAAGTAAATAGGCTTAGAAGAAAGTGGTGCAAAAATATACTAAAAACAAGGACCAAGATCTATTTACGGCGTTTAATGCTACCTGGTAGAACACAAGTTTGTCGATTCCTATTGGCTTATGTATATAAATTATTTAAGGCTAGTCAAATGCACTATGTATTTACTAAAACTCTATATGAACATAGATTGATTTACTCGGTTAAGTGAATTTCCCATATAGGGAATAAGCTATTACCGTAGGTCTCATGGTAAGACCTTATCCCGGGACCGATTTACTTTTTCATTTTGAGGTTCCCAGAGGCCAAAAACACCATCCGTTCAAATTCATATATTGTATATTTCATATATAGGGTAAATTTTTGGGATTTCTTTCCCAACCATTTTCTAGAGCTTAAAAAAGAAATAATTTAGTATATTGAAGCATTGTTGTATGCCTAATGGTTACGGAGAAAATTCAAAAAAGTGTAAATTTAAAATTCACATGTTATTCCTATGGAGAAAATGAAAACTGCTGTAGTTTACTTGTTTATGGACCTACCCCTTAGCAGCAAACCTAAGCACTCGTTAAATCTAATGTTATTTAAATTGGGAATAAATATGTATTATTTATGGAAATGTTTTAGTAAAAATGTGATCAGACAAGTTGAAATTCGCTTAGTCTGCAGGTTTGCTGCGGCGGGGGTATTTATTTTTATTTATAATCCGTACGGGTGGATTTAGGTAGTTCAATATGATGAAACAGGTTGCTGATAAATCGTAACGCATTATTTCACGCATTCATTTCAAACATTGTTATCATTTACATGTAGCCTACTTTTGTATCTTATGATGAGATTATTTTTGTTGTGCCACTTGCAAAAATTACTCATATCCGTCCAAAAAAAGTATTATTGCTATTTTACAACGTGTTTTCAATTCATGTGTTGAGGGGTCAAATGTAGGGCGTTCTTTCTAGGGAATATCGTATGTAGGGAATCCACTCTACAACAGTGCGATAAGTGGGTTTAGTTCAATTTAGTTTATGATAATTACAATAAGGTACCATTAAAAAATACATTTTCTTCTGAAAAAAGAGGGCGTGAATACAAATTTACGTATTTTTAAATTTGTCTCTTTAACAAGTTACACGGCATAAAAACTGTTTTCTTAATGATATATTGTTCGTCATTATTTTAAATTGAATTAAAATAACCGAACTAAACTAAACTAACCTAACCTAAGCATTGCACTGCACTGTAAAAGAGTGGTGGCCCTCTTATTGAAAACCCTCTCAGCTGGATTCGAGAACATGAGCCTTACATTTTCCAGACTGAAAAATTCCTCCGCGTATTTTAGACAAGTTGTAACAAATATATTTCAGTATTTTAAAATGTATTTCTTA